TTCTAGCCCTAACTCCAAGTTCACGCTGACGTTCTTATCCTGGGGAAAAAAACTAGGAAACTGATAGCATGCATTTTACAAACTTAAGGTCATTTTAACACTGCTAAAAACGTGGGGTTTTTTTAATAAATTATGCCTACTTACATCACATCAGTTTTTCTAAGGGAATATACGGCAAAAGACGAAGCTCCACTCGCGGCCACTGTCATGAACAGCACCAAAGGAATAAGCTAACAGAGAACAGGTTGAGGGTCAATATTAAGTTTCAAGATAAAACATATGAAATACAACAGAATAAGCTATGTATCATTTTATACATTCTTCAAAATCTGCGCCATCTGTTCATCTTTAAAAATTAATATATTTAGTCAAGATTTTCAATTGCTTTAAAAACTTACTTCCTTCTTTTTCCTCAGCATTTGGAAAAACTTCATGATGATCTCAGTGTAGGATGCCAAATCTAGAATTAAAAAGTCCAAGATACTGATCAAAACTTCAGCTTCAGCCACTAGAACCCCTCCTGGCGAGCATCAAAAAGAACAACGTACTCCAAAAGCCACCCTGGGTCCGGCTCAGCGGCACCTTCACCCGAGGGCAGCTCACCTGGGGGCGGAACAGCGCGCGCGGACGATGCTAACGCCCAAAGCCGAACGGGGCCCGGACCTCGCGCCTTATATACCGCCCGCAACCGCTGCGGAAGGGCCGGACCGTCTGGTCACACGGCCAGGTGGGGGGCGTGAGAGACCTGACTCGCCTTCCCGGCGCGATGCCCAAGGCTCGGGCGCCCCCTGCAGGACGCCGTGCGGGCCGACGCTGCTCAGCCGAAGGCGGGCGCCGGGGCCCCTGCCGCTCGCAACGGTTCTCACCTGCTACCCCGCGCGAGCCGAGGTTGGGCGTTGGCGCTTTGGGTGTCGCTTCAGCAACGGCTGGCGCCTGCAAGGTGGTAGAACTAAGAACAAGGGGAGCTCTGATAGCCAAGCCCTGGGTGAAAACCAACACGTTTAAAAGAGGGTCCGGAAAAAGAAGGCCCAGCCGGAGGGTCCCCTGGGAGGCTTCCAGGTGCAGGCAGGTAAACTATAAATCATCCAATCACATTAAAAACTCCAAAATGTGATGTAGTGCACATATGGAGATAATTAAAATTAAATTGTAAAGCTCCTTTCGGATTAACTCCCACGGGGCCCTTGTTTTTTTTCCATTGAAAAAGTCAGGGGGTGAGGAAAAACAATAAAAAAGAATCAGCTGGAAAGGTTTCCAGAATAAGGTCCATCATCTCTGAGACCAGACCGGCTGGCTTCGTCATGAGGTCCCCTTTATCTCGCCCCTAAACTAGCAGCCTCGCTTTGCACAGAGCAATTCCATTAAACCGGGGGCTGTGCGCCAGACACTGTGCCGGAATCTTCTCGACATTTTTGCAAGGTGAGTATGTTATTTAGCCGCAGAGATGCTCAAGTCACATAGCCAGTAAGTGGCAGAGTTATCAGCAGAACCCAGATTTGTCTGGTCCTCATCACCACTGTTCTTGCTGCATGCATCCTGCTCTTAGCTATTGCAATTAAGCCGAGTAAGCTCAGTTATTTAAAGTTATTTAAAAACAATTATTTTAAAACTGAAGTTCAAGCTATGAATTAACGTTAAAAAAGGAACATCTTAAGTTTCTCTGGAAAGGGCCAGACACAGCTGTTTCAACTTCATTTAAGTTCTAGACATGGGCTTTGCATTCAAACGGACCTAATTCAGAGCCCACTCTGCCATACTTTATTAGCTGACTGACTTCGAGGAAACTATTTAACCTTTATGAGTCTCAGTTTATATATTTGTAAACTGAGGACAAACCTAGCTCAGGAGGGAGTTGGACAATAAGCTTAGAATGTATTAAAGCACATGGCCTTCTGTCTTGCCTATAGTAGGCATTCAATGAAATAGCAATTATTAATTGCAAAGATTTGTTTTCCATAAGGTAGATCATAAATGTAGCTTCTCACCCACTTATTCTGACAAGGGTTCTTACTGTGTAACCCCAGAGCTGTAACTGGAGAATTTTGTCAATTGATTAGATTAACATCAGATTATTTCAAAGGAAGTTCAACATTAATTCTCCCTAGTATGTATTGAGTAGAATCAGAGAAGCCTTTTAATGCTCCTCCTGCAGGATTTCTAAAGCTATTTTTGTCAGGAAGTTCTTTTAAAAGCTTCATTTTGTTAATTAAAGATAAGTTCTTTTAGGAAGGGAAGGTGGAGGAAAAGAAGAAATCTTGCAGGAATGTATCATGGCCTGAAAATTAAAAATCTGTAGCCTTTGTCTAGTAATGACCTTAAACTCAGAGCCCTGCTTTGCTGATGTCATTTCTTTCCAAATAGCAGTTTTGTAGTAGTCTAGGCATTATTCTGAGAATAGGGTCATGGTAAATTAAAAAGATTAATAAGACACAAGTCTCTNGGGGAGGTTCTCACCTCCAGCCTATATTTATTTTTAAGGGCAGAGACCCTGTTTTCTTTACCTTCGGATAAACCCCTTCCCCATATTACCTAGCACAGAACATGGCACGTGGCAGACGCTCCTTAAATGTTTTCTGAATGATTAAACCCAGTGACAAATCCTTTTGCAAAGACTCAGCCATGATTGATCACTGGCATGCTTAATTTCAAGGTTTTTAAGTATTCATTTATTCAACAAATACATATGATGTCTGCCTACTATATGCCAGGCACATGCCAGCTGCTAGCGATCCAACGGTGAGCAAACACAGCTCCTCATGGAGCTCCAGTTTTGTGGGAGAAGCAAGTAATTTGCTGAATGCACATAAAATGACACTGTGCTAAGGTTACAAAAGGAGAGGCCAAAGGACTATGGAAGCACCGGCCAGAGGGCCTGCCCAAGGGTCAGGGAAGGCTTCTGGGAGGAAGTCTGCACACCGCTCCACCCCCACCTGTCCATTATGGACCACGTTCCAGACTTCGTCTAGCCCGGCGCACCCTGGCTGCTTGAGTGACTTAAGGTCCCTCAGAACACGAGGGAAACCCACATCTCCTGACAGTCCAGTCCTCCACACCAAAAGCTCAAAAAACTTTTAGGTGTAAGTTTTCAGGTCAAGAGGAAAGAGAGTTTTTGTTTTTTTATGCAAAGCAGCTTAAACTGAAACTGACCTCACCCTGGGCTTCTGAGATGGTTTTCAGGGAGGGAGGGAGGGAGGGAAGGAGTTGGCTCTCCACGAATCTCCGGGACACACCCAGATTGCCCAACAGGGCAGCGCCACACAGCCCAGGCACCTCTCAGGCCCCTTCCTTCCCTGGCCGTTGGGACCCCCCAGGGGACACTCTCTTCAGTGCCAGCTCCTCCATAGCTAAAGGAATCTTCCCCGGGGTCAGTGCAGGGCGAGGTCAAGGGCAGGCCTGGAGGAGGGGCCCTCAGACCAGCCAGATGAGGCACCAGATCAAACTGTCCACAATCAGGAAATGGGTGATGACTTCCCCGTGATGCTTTGTCTCTCGGCTGCCCGCACCCTTTTCAGGGCTCTTAGTTCATAATAAGAATCCTTCTGGCCCTGGACTCGTGCCGTCGCCCTCACTTTGGCTCCTTTCTGGCTTTCTGGTCAGTTCTCCTTTCTCTCTCCTGCCTGGCTTCTTTACATCTTCACCCCCTCGGTAACTTGGGGCGCAAGCAGCCCTGTGACTGCCTCTCAGCCCTGACTTTTCTCCTCAGGGGTGTGCCTCTGAGTGTAACTCACTGCAAGCTCCTGAGAGAGTCTGGCCAAACTAGTAAAACCTTTTCAAGCAGGGCCCTCGTGGGTCTCTGAGAAGGACACTGAAAACACTGCACGTCCTCTAAAATCTAATCCCATCCCCTTCTCATCCTCTCTCCTTCCTGCTGATCAAACTGTTTTTAGTTTAGGATCCAGAGATAGCTACTAAGGCATCACAAATTATTCCCAGCTTTGGGGCTTAGAACGTAAACACTGTGCTCCGTTTCCCAAGCTTTGTCCTCCAAAGAAAAACCCTTTTTTCTTTGCATACATATATATGCATACTGGCTTTCAGGCTATGATCTCAGCTAGGGATGTGAAGCCTCTACATTCAAACTTCTTTGTTCCAGACCAGAGTTTCTCAAACTTGAGCCATGCATAATAACCTGAAGCGGCTATGTGTAAAACAAACAAACAAAACACAATCCTGGGCCTACCCCCCAGAGACTAAGATTCAGTAGGTCTGGGGCGTGGTCCCTCACGTTGCCAGTCCACCCACCTGCGCTTCTAGTAGGAAGGGACAGTTCCTAGCTCTCAGTCCTCGCCCAGAGGCAAGGAACGCTTCCAGCTTAGAGCTGGGAGGAAGATGAGCAATGAGGAAATAATGCAGGAATGAAATATCTCAGCGAAAACATTTCTAAGTACTAACCTACCTCACAGATTTACCCCCGAGATGAAGCTCCCTTTGCAAAGCAAGGTTCTGAGAAGTTAGGGAGCTTGCCAAGGTCCCCCCAGCTCTTGACTGACAAAGCCTGGAGTCAGGTGCTGACCTGTCCGCTTGCGCCCGGCCCACTGTGTCAACTGTGAAGCTGAGTTAATGTTCAGACTTGATTGTTATTGGCAGAACCACTGCCATCTGTCCTGATGTGGGTGGCGAGTAGTGTCATCTCTACAGAGAAATGAAGATGTTCACAAATGTGTATGCCCCACACCAGGTAAACCCCCCCCCTCCTCAGGTTGGGGAGCTACGGTCAGCACGACTGAACAGGCAGACAGGGCAGCCTGGCCAGAAGAGGCATTCCCCCCTTGCGTCTTCCCCCTGGCCTGACCCTGCTCTCCAGGTATCAAAGGTTCTCCTGATGACTCGGGACTGGTCTAGAATATTACTGACTAGGCGAGAACCCCCCACTAATGACCAAATGTTACAAGGAGCAGAGAGCCTCAGCGCAGTAGCTCTCCAAGTAAAGTCCCCACAGTAGCCACATGAGCTTCACCCAAATCTGTACTTGGGTCCCATCCCCAAGCTACCAAAGCAGAAGTCTGGGGTTTGGGGCCCAGCGATCCACATTTGAGCATGCCGTCCAGGAGACTCTGATGCACAGCTAATGTTTGAGAACCACTGTTGTACTGCAAGAGTTAGCCAGGTTCCTAGCGTGGTTTGGGAAGATTTGGTTTGGTGACACAGAGGGTTCCCTGCTCTCTGTCTGGGCAGCCCTGATGTACACCAGTGGTGGAGGAGTTGGTGAAGCATACACTAATCTAGCTGTAAAGTCACCTGAAACCTCTCCTGCCTCACTTGGTTACAGCCTTGCCCTGGAGACTATTCATTGCTGCGACAGTCGTGTTGCTATGGTAACTGTGTAGCTGCCTGGCCCTTCCTCTGTGGGTGGTAATAGCTGCATCACTTAGACACTAGGTAAACCCAGTCTGGACTCTGCTCCCAGCTCTCTCCACAAGCCTATTGTTGTCACCACAGGGGACAGACTGAACTACCAGACCTGGCCCCACTGGTCCTGTTAGTATGCTTCTTTACAATCTTCAGCAACTTCTAATTTACCTGTTTTGGGGAAAAAAAGCAGATCAAATGTAATATATAGGGTAGGGGGTTACTTCATATGGTGGGAAAAAATTATGCCAGCCTCTGTTATTTCTTGAGGTGAGAAAGTAAATAAAGGTAGAACAGATTTTTTTTTCTTCTTTCCTTTTTGTGATATAATTCACAAAATAAATGTCACCCCCTTTTACGTGTACAATTCCATGAGTTTTAATTTAAAAAGTAAATAGTGCCCCAAGAGAACATTCTGAGGTGATAGAAATGTTTAT